ATATATACACACAGGGTGTCCCATTTTAATTTCCTCAGGCAAATATCTCGAAAAATATGGAAGAACAATGTTTCAAATGAAAGTGGAACGGTTTCGAGGGAGACATATTTTGGTCATGTTGTTTTTTTTTTCTACGTGAAGGCATCAAAAAAATATGAAGGTCATCTTCATTTTTTAAAATAGAATTGTAATTTTTTTTTTATACAATATGATTTCCTTAATTATTCTGCATATAAAAAACTAATAGTTTACAAATTATTTAACATTTTATGTCAATATGTGTCAAAATAAAATGTAAAATATATAAATATTGATAATATCATAAATATTGATTTTTTGATATCACTACCTTAATACTTTTATATCAGAATAATTAGAAGAAGCATATGTGTAAAAAAATATACAATTCCATTTAAAAAGATGGAGATGACTTCTATATCTTTTTGACGTCTCCATCTAGAAAAAAAAACAACATAACCAAAATACATTCCTCTCGAAACCATTCCACTTTTATTTGAAACATTTTTCTATATTTTCCATATTTTTCGAGATATTTGCTTGAACTTAAAATGGGACATCTTGTATATGTGTGTGTGTGAGTATGCATGTATATGCGCATGCGTGTATGTACTTATATATTTTTTTACATTTATTGTTAATTTGTCAATATAGCCTGAACATTACGTTTCTCATTTGCTTGGACATGAAGGAGAAGGCTCATTATTATCGGCTTTGAAAGCTAAGGGATGGTGTAACTCCTTAGTATCCGGACTACGTCCTGCTGCCAGAGGCTTCAGTATTTTCAATATTCTTGTCGATTTGACTGAAGAAGGTATTAAGCATATCGAAGATATTGTTCTACTGGTGTTTCAGTGTATCAATATGCTTAAGTTGAAAGGACCAATCAAATGGATTTACGATGTAATTAACGAAATAAATTATAATTTTATGTAGAATGTCCGGAAAATTATGCTATCACAATTTACCAAACATTTCGTACTTCAATCATGTATTAAATATGAAATAATAAGCATTTTGTACATTTGCAGGAATATAGAGATATTGACAATATAAACTTTCGTTTTAAAGAAAAGTCTTCGCCTCGTACTTATGTGAAATTTACGGTTCGAGCGTTGCAAGAATTTCCCATGAATGAAATTTTGTGCGCGCATCTTGTTAATCCTGAATGGCGACCAGACTTAATCGAAGAAATAATGGGATATTTGATTCCGCAAAATGTTAGGATTCACATAGCTGCAAAAGCATATGAAAATATAGCTGATGAAATTGAAAGTTGGTATGGCACTAAATATAAGAAAGTGAAGATATCCAAGGAAATAATGGACATATGGAACTCCCCTGGCTTTAACGACGATCTGAAATTGCCTCCCAAGAATGAATTTATAGCAACTACATTTGATATCAAGCCACAAACTAACGTAATTAAAAATCTCATTTTTTGTAATATTAATTCTTGATTGTGATACTCAAAGCAAAATGAAGCATAAATTATATTGTGAAATTTGATATGAAATAGAATTTAATTAATGTTAGAGTAACTTAAAATAAATTCTATCTCTTTTACACATGTATAATTTTCATATAATAATACATGTGAAGTGCATTTGAATATATATTTCTATACTAACTTTACAAAAATATATGTCGATATTTAAAGATTAGTTTACAGAAAACTAAGAGATCGTGATATAAATAAGAAAAATAAGATGCAATAATTTTAATTTTGACTTGTTTTTATACATGAAATGGTCCTTTGCCTTATCGTATTTGATCTCATTATGTATATATTTACATATCATTGTATATATTAACAAGTGAAATTTTACAGATTGAAAAGTTTCCCATTATTTTGGAGGATACATCATTTGTAAGACTTTGGTATAAAAAGGACGATGAATTTCTTGTACCTAAAGCAAAGATGATCTTCGATTTCTTCAGGTATTAAGTGATTGTGAAAGATATATTGCTGCTCTAATCGAATGTGTAATACTGAAATATTTTTAAATGTAATTTGGAATTTCTGGCAACTTAAATAATTTTTATTATTAATTTATAATATGATGAGATTAGTATTAATGTGCATCCGAAATAATATTAATAAGTTGGTTATTATTGAAACCATTTAAAAAAAAATTAATTTAATTTTGCAATTATGATTCTTAAAATATTGTTATTTAAAGATGAGAATGAAATATAATTTCTTATAACAAAAAAATATTTTCTATAATTATGCACAATGTTTGTTTTGTTTCTAATTTATAGCCCATTTGCCTATATGGATCCTCTTAGTTGCAATTTCACTTATATGTTTATTAAGCTGTTTCGTGATTCTCTTAATGAATATACATATGCTGCTGATTTAGCTGGTTTACTATGGGAACTTAATAGTTTTA